GTGAGTGAGTGAGTGAGTGAGTGAGTGAGTGAGTGAGTGAGTGAGTGAGTGAGTGAGTGAGTGAGTGAGTGAGTGAGTGAGTGTGAGTGAACGAACAGAAATGTGGGCACATGTAATTTCACTCATGTTTGATATTTTTTGTTCTCAGATTGAGTGGTTTGTCACCATTCCAAGGTGACACTGACGAAGAGACTCTGAAGAATATTCTTGCCTTAAAGTATGAGTTTGATAAACACTACTTCAGCACAACCAGCGCCATGGCCAAAGATTTCATACTGAAGCTTTTGGTGAACAATTCCAAGTATGTTGTATAGGTACAGTATTTCTCTTGTGTGGTCGGCCAGTAAAGTCCCTTTTAAATGCTTGTTAAAACATAAAAGAACATTATGGATACGTGAAGACGACAACAATCGGAAGGAATATAACAAAAATTTCTGAGTTAGTGTTTTTAAAATGTTGAAAACCTCACAGTTCAGACCCCGCTGCTGGGACCTTTTTTTGCGGGGGAACTTAAATATCTTGTGTGCATTCTACCATGTAACGGTGGAACTGTGCCTCATGCTACTGTGGATGTAGTAACATGAACGTTTGGTTGAGTAAACAGCAGCAACTGTCATACAAACGTAGTTTAATATTAGCAGATGTAGTGTTTGTACACAGGGTTAGGTTGATATAAAATAACTGCCCTGTCCTCCATCCTCTGTGCTCCATGACTGCTGTCACAACAAATAAGACATTAAATATCAGGCGTGTAACGGTACGCCTGCTGCGTTCAAAACCATTTCTACGAATATCCAAGACGGTTAAAACTACTAGCAGTGGAAGATAAAACTATGAAAGTGAAAATCACTACTTTTATAGTGTTCTGTATGATGTATTAATAATTAAATACAGCAAAATAAACTATTTCAAAGGTAACAGATCTTTGTAATACTTGGTTTATTTACATAATAACTTTATTTGCTGGATGTTCAGCCCCTCAGCTGTTGACCTGCAGTAACTGCGGCCCCTGGAGTGATTTAGTTGAATAGCTCTGTTATATAGAATTATATTGTGTGCAACTGGTAAATTCCCCATAAAATACAAAAAACTGAAGTTTCTTGTTCTTTCATTTTCAATCCATGGATCATGTGTCAAACAGAAAATTTAATAAACTGCAGCAAGATATATTACAAAAAAAATTTAATTATGATAAAAAACCAAGTAGTAAACTTGACCAAAACTTTCTGCAAAATATAGAACCCCACAGAACTGCATCTTTCAATGAGAAAATAGAAAAAAATAAATAAAACAGTCAAACTTAAAAGCTTGACATCAAGGTTATTGTATAAATATTAAAATCACTTTCTGTAGTCGTTTCCACAGTGTCATTTACATGATAGAGCTGCGTTTGCTTCTGCAGGTTATTCTGAACCAACCATGTTTTGTTCGATGTTTGTTTAAATATTATCTTTGCTTTTTTCTGTCAGGGCTGTTAGCAAAATGCAGTTAAATAAAATATAATACGCTCACTACGGGTGTTTATGACTGTATGAATGCATAAATTTTTACACCCCTACTAACTTTTCATATCCGTTTGACAGAACATCAGTACAAAACAGCCTGACTATCCCTTTAACTCAAATGTTTAATTTATTTTGTTTAATGCAGTGAGAGAATGACGGCTGAGGAGTGTCTGCTTCATCCATGGATAAAGGTATAAAGCTTACTCCTTCACACGTATCTTTTCCCTTTGTTCCCTGTATTGCTCTGGTGTCTGCAGTGAGAGTTGTTTGTCGTTGGCACAAATGTCGTGTTTTTCAGCCCATCACGCGCACACAAGCAGTCAGCCGGCATCGATCCTCAATCAATATAAGGAGCTTCAAGAAGTTTAACGCGAAAAGGAAATGGAAGGTGCGTCACTTTCTGCATTTTATACCAAGCTGTTGAGTTGTAGCTGCTTTTGGTCTCGTGATTTTTTTTAGTGCTCGAAGTTTGTCTTGGGGATGAAACTCATCATATTTTAGTTTAATATTTGCAAATATATATATATATATATATAAGTATAATTGGGTTTGCACCGAAACATAATCAGTCATTAAACTTTCATCAGAATCCATCTGATATTTTGCTAACAGTCATAAACACACAAACTGAGAGCCAAAAACATCATCTTTCACTTTCACTTGTCAGCAGAATGATTTAATAGAATGATTTAATAACTGTGACTTTTCATCCTCTGTCTTAATTGAATTTAAAACACATTTCTGTTAACAACATTAGTTAGATGGATGATACTAAAATGTAACATGTGTTACCTCCTAACTGTCTAGATGTCCTACAACATGGTGCGGATGTGTAACCAGCTGGTCAGTTTGAGACTGCACTGTAAGAGCAGCTCCAAACAAGATCCTTTAGAGGTGAGAACACTTGGCAGCAAAAGCATTTCTGATAGTCTGCTCGTTTTTGAAGTGGTGTTATGTTAAGTAGGTTTAAGTAGATGGTACCTTATTTCACACCAGTTAAAAGTTGCTTTGTAAGGCTAAAAACTATGATGTTAAGGTCATGAACTAGTTAACTTGGCCTAGCTCTTACTGATGCAGCGTTACATTATGTCTGCAGAACAGAGGTTGAAAAGGCTTCGAAGATACAGAAGTCGAGGCTAAAGTTGTGTAACTGTCAAAGAATGATTGGTCAAGAGGCTGCAGAATGTGGCCAACAGTACAAAGCTCTTATCAAACAGGAAGTGTGTCGCAGAGAAACCTAAACAATGAAGCGTTATTTATAGGACAGATGTAAATAAAACTCACAAGTTAGTTGTTTTATGAATTTCTCATTAGTTTATATAGAATTGTCATGATTGTTAGCTCTATTTTCACATTTAATGTTTATACAAAGTTTTGTTAATTAAAGTCGCACAAAAACATGCAGGATAGTAGTCCTCAGTACTGGCCCTTCAGATCCACTATCCTGCTGGTTTTAGTGGTTTTCCAGCTCTTCAACAGGTCTTCAAGTTCTGCAGAATGACTCATTTATTCAAATTAGGTGCACTGAAAGTTTCAGTGGTGGTGATATTTGTAGGGTGGGCTAACCGATATATAACATATAAATAAATAAAATAAAAAATATAATAAAAAATTATATATATAATATACAGTGGTGGGCACCAGTCCTCTAAAGTGCAACTCCGCTAATTGCGGACCTAAATATTTTGCTTGCGCTTTAGCGGTCTTACTAATTCTTATAATTCATAAGCAGATTTGTGCTTTCTAAAATTAAAATGCAGTACTGCTAATAACTAATTATCTACCAGTCATCATTATCTTGAACAGCAGAAGGTATGGCTGTCGAATCACAACACGTGATCTGTCCAACAGCACCCCTCTCAGATAAACACAATTATTGGAAACATTTACATCCTTGCTGTTGCATTCGGTCACGGTTCTCATTTCCCACAATGCTTTGTGTCTGCTTACGTAGCAGGAAGGCAGTAGCAAAAACAGTTAATGTTTGTAATCCAAACTAAAATTTTGTATGTATTGATTTATTTTCCTTTACAATCAGAACTCTTTTTTAAAAAAATAAAGTTTAAACGCTGGAGCTCAATACTTAACGTAATTGGTCAAAGCAATCCGCCAACGGGGTTAGACTGACATCTAGTGGTCAACTGGAATAACTACATGGAAAACTTTTTTTCTCGTCACAAATCAAATCCGTTACCCAAAATGCATCACTTCAGTTTTCCAATAAACAGATTTAAAATTACTTTATTGACGCTTCTTTAATTAAAAACCTACAACAAACAAAAGAAAAAGACAACGAAGCAGCTGAACTAGCAATCCTCAACAACTTTTTAAATAATCAGCCGAACTAGCAATCCTAAACAGCTTTTTAATTTTTTCACCAGGAGCCAAAGGTCTGTTTCATGAGAATCACATCCCCAGCAATCGGTAGTAGTAGAATTAAGCTGTAAAAGGGTTCAAACGCCACTAGTTGGCAGTGTTGTACATATATTGTACATGAATTATTGCCAGCTAGTAAGTGTCAAATTGAACTTGCGCTTCAAAATTAGCTTCCGCAAGTTTTTCTAGGGCATAAGCGTTTTTGAAGTTGTGGACCTAAATATTTTCATAAGCACTTTAGAAATTGCGGAGCTAATGTTAGCGCCGCCCACCACTGATAATATATAATAAAAATGCTGCAGGTTGGATTCCTAAAGCAAAAGTATCCAATTTGAAATTAAAAAAACTGCTATTAACTGACATGTCTGTTTTCAGCACAAAGACATCCAAAGCAGAAAAGAGATTTATTAGCTACGCTAGCTGTTAGCTGGATTTGAATATTTTTTGTTCCATCTGCCCCAACTTCTCTACTTCCAGTTTTTCTTCCAAATACATAAAAAATGTGCAAAATTAAATAATCCAACATGTTTATGTTAATCTTGCTCAGATTGTACCTGCTCAGCCTGCGTCAAACCACACCCACTTACCCTCCTGCTCGATGCACGTATGTCCACCCTCTGATCCTGAGGTGGACAAAATGAACCCTAATAAGCGGCAAACTGTGGGGGCGGGACAAGACGTCTGTCAATCATTCTGTACCACGAAAGACACTGACTGAACGAGGCCGTGAAAAGTTAAAAAGACTGGGATTTTTTTGAGACTCTTTGGCACCAGTTTTGTTTTAAATTTCACAAAATGTGATACAATATTTTTATTTATGTTTATTAGATATTTTAAAATTTACCCAACGGGGTAAATTTCAGTATTTTTAGTTTCTATCCCCACTGACAACAGACTCCACTGTCTTGTTATTTATTAAAGATGAAGCCATTTGTCCATTCAAATTTGAAAATGTTCTACTAGTTCAGGACAAACTTAGAAGTTTTTAGAATTTTTTTTATACTTTTCAAAAATAATTTACTTTATATGCAAACATTTCCCCGTAAAAATACAATGAACTCTAATTCTTAAAAAAAAAGAAGTTCTCTCCACCTTAGCAGTCTTGCTCTGTTTTTGTCTCACCTCAGTTAGAGCGAAGGTGAAGGCAACTGAAGCTGCAGGTCATTGGACAAGTGTCCACTAAAGTTAGTTTGTAGTTCAAAACCTTGTGCTAATGTTACCAGCAGTTAAAACTGAACTGAAATGCTTCGCTCTTTTCTGCAGAGAGAGTGTGAAAGTGACGTAGAAGATGCAGACAGCAAGCCGGCCTCTCTGCTGCGCCGAAGACTCAGCAGCAGTTCTTAGAGGAGCTGGAGTTTGAGCCGAGGAGGACCGTTGTTACAGGCTCAGGTGAACCTGGCCTCTGATGGGAACTACGCACAGACTCAGAGGGGTCTGTTCTTTATCAAACTCCTTCAGGGGACAGTCTACAGGAGACTGGACAAGCTGCATGTCTACAGAACTCATATATGTATATTTTTTACAAGATAGTGTTCACACTAGACAACATCGTGAAAATGAAGTTGCCGTGGAGCTAAAACTAACAAATGTATTTTCTTAATAAACTTATTTTATGCAAAAAAACATTATTATAAGCCAAATCCTGACACTGTACACACATATGTATATGTATATGTATGTATGTATATATAC